TATGGTCCGGGTCTGGAGAGGTTATTTAGACTCACTCTGATTTGATCCTCTGCATTTAAAAAATGAACACAGACATCCTTGTGAGTGTCTCAGTGCTGCGAGAAACAGTCCCAATGCCATTAAATCTGTGATGCTCTCCACTTTCAGTATTTGCTGGATACAAGATATTAGGAAACAATGTCATGCAAAGATACTAATCAAATATTTATGACCAATTGAAAAGAATAGTTCAGACTTAAGCAGAGATTCAGGTTTGGTTTTATTTACCTTGCACAAATTACTCAGTTCCCAGAGATTGTATTGGCAAGGAAGAAAATGCCAGCGCCTTGGACAGATTGTAGATACCCTGATCTGACATCGATACATAGGACAAATGGGAGCAATGAGATGGTTTGGGATAAACCGTGCTTTAAATCAGCAGCGCACGGAGGCCAAAAAGCTGTGAAAATGTTCACTGGTTTCGATACAACCGGTTTGTGAAGCAGAGGCGGTCACGCAGGCACACGTTGCGGGGCTCCTCGGAGGTGCTCTGGGCACTGGGCCTCCTTTGGAAAGGATTATTTGGCTCTTAGTCACCGCACAGATAGTATTACAGGAGGTGGGTGCTGGCAGCCAGCCCAAGTCCACCCTGCGCCTTGCTGGTTGCCAGAAAACTAATGAGCAAATACTTCCGCTTTCAGGCTCTTCCCTCCCCTCTCCCTACACCTGCAACCTGTACCGGGGCTGTGCCTGGAGCAAGCTGGAGCCTCCGGGGCAGCGGCTGGGCTGGGAGCTTGGAAAAAAACCTGACCTAACGAAGAAAAACCAAGTGAAAGAGGACTGGAGCACGGCGGGGAGCCATCCTGCGTGTGGGGCAGGACCTGAGCACCCAGCAGCAGGTTTTCCCACACCGCTGAGCCGTCAGCTCCCGGGGAAGATGAGCATTTCATCGGAGCACAAGCCCCTTGGGAAGCAGGTCACCGGTAGCCTGCATACGGTGAGTGAGGTATTGGCTCCGGGGCACAGTTTCCTCCTGTGGGATCAGAGCACCCACTTTGGGCTACATTAGAGGGTTATTTTACCCCCATCTGCTATTTTGAAGGCACCAGGGCTTGCCAGATATGTGACCAAGAAGAGGACTCTAGGTAAAAAGCTGTGTCTGACTCCGACCTGTTTGCACCAGTTTGGTTACAGAAGGGCCACATCCCTTGCAGGCGTACAAGATCTGGCAACAGCAAATAACCAGAGCGGTCCTTTTCCCCTTTGACAAGAGGTGGAATTAATTTAATATGATCTTTAATTGGTCATGTCCCTAAATAAAAGCCTGTTGTGAGTTTTGGGGTCTTTCAATAGTTCTTAGAGTCTCTAATGATGCAAAAGCTGTCCTGTGTTGTAGAAGTGCAGAATCATCAGCTGGGAGCAGTCGTTGTTCTGGCTCTAAGGAAAACTAATGGCAATCTCAAGACAAGCAGTGTACTACCAGGCAGAAATCAGGGACAAGATCAGATGAAGTTTTCCTTTTCCACTCCTCTGCCCTCAGTTTGTTGGCAACCAGTTTGTCTTCTCTGTTGTCGCTGTACGGCCTCTCCCCCAGACCTCTCTGTCTTTGAAAGATCCAATCTTCTTGTGTTGCATTTTTCAGGTGTAGGTTGCAAAACGCTTCCCCAAGGAGGTAACTGTTTTGCAGGTGAATAAACTGGGGCACAGATAGGTGGAATGACTTCCTAAGTATCACCTCACTGGCTAATTACAGAGCTGGGAATCAGCTGGTGCCACTACTCCCAGTCGTCTGGGAACCAGTTCGGTCCCGGGCCAAACTCATTAATCAAGATCTGAGAACATAAGGTTAGTTGGGCTACTGCATTAATGAAGAACATGTTATCCATTTGTATTAGTGACAAACAGCATGAGACATCTGACCTGCCATCTGAAAAAGGAGCAACGGCTCAAAAGGATGAGACCTTCCTATCAAATGATCCCTGTCGGGGAAAGCTGTTGTTATCACTTGGACTAATGGCAAATTTCCTAACTGAGAGGCTTTGCTACAGAACCAGCTTTGGGCCATGTTCTTCAGTGGGTGGAAATCACCGGATAGTCTCAGACGGAATAATTTTTTATGTCTCCTTGGCCCTAGCGTAAATGATTGCCCTCGAGATGAAGCCACCCACGCTAGGGCAAAGCAATATTCCAGCTGGGTCTTTGGCCTCAATCTTCCGTTGTTTCCCTGGCTTGCCCAGGCTGTGAGCAAATTTCTGCTAAATCTGACAGCTTGCTGCTGTTTAAAGGGAAAGGTCTCCCCCTGCTCCGGCCTGTCTGTTCCTAGTCCCTTCCTTTTGCCAGCTCTGGTGCTTGCTAAATCCTCTGTGAGCCAATTCAGCTCTGTAAGATGAAAGAAAAGCAGCGCTGGCACGAGGTGAGCAACAGAAACACGTAGGTAGGTAGAAGGGTGGAAAGGGGAGAGGGCAGCAGGAGCTCCCCCTCCTCTTGGTGCGAGCTGTGAGATCAGCTCACGTCACCCCGTGGGTCCGTACCTGCGGGATCCAGCTAAGCCCTTAAGTACACGCTTCGCTTCAGGCATGTGACCAGCAGCACTGAAGCAGATCCTTGCGTGATCGGATCCAAGAAAGAGCAGGTGAGCTCCTGGAAAAAAGGGTTGTTATTGACTCACGCCTTCCCAATGGCAGGTGTGGTCCCGGCCAGGCATGTGACTCCATTACGGCAGTGACGGCGGGAGGGAAAATAACTGCCTCCTCTCTTCCTTCTCCCGTTCCTCTGCTGAGTACTACAAAAAATCACCGAGTGCAAAGGGAGGCTGTTAAAACTTTTCAGCACTGAACTGTCAGGAAGGTCAGACCAGACACCAGGTCCAGCTTTCCGGGCATTCAGGCCTCCTCCAGTGTGTTTCAGGTAGCAGTGGTGTTAATGCACGGTGAAATAAAATAAATCCAAACAAAAATCCAAGCTTTATATTCTTCCTTCTTAAATCCATGTCAGTGGCATGAATTATTTCCTTTACTTCCTAGTTAAAGCTATCATACATTTCTGAAGTGCTTTGCTAAACAGCTTCTGTCCTCCACCTCTGACATGATGCATTTTTGTGTCTTACCTCAGTACTTGTAACTAAACCCCCAGATGAGTGGAAGCCAATTCCACCCATTTCTAAAGTTTCAAAGAGCTTTGGTTCCTCCTTTGAAGAGGAAAACACCAGCTCAGGTGAGAGGAATGGTGTTGCACAGCTTTGAGCTCGGTCCTTGTCCCTCTGCACGTGGGGAGGGCGAGCGCTCAGGTCGCTCTTGCTGGAAGGACAGGGGCCAGCAGGGACGATGCTTGTGTGGGTCTTAGGAGGTCGATGTCGGATCCTGTCGTCACTGACAGCTTCCCTGGGCAGGGGACTTCTCGTCCCTCTTCCTCACTGACAAAACGACATTTTCCTACGTCCCAAAGATGTGGTGAGCACTCAGCCATTTAGAAATGTCCAAGTCTCTGCTGGTCTGGTTACGAGGACTGTATAAACATCCCGCATCTGCTTTTAGCAATAAATCGGGTGGGTGTTTCCATCTGATCCCCAAGGGATGGGGGCTTATACTGCTCTTCACACCGTCATTCCAATTTCAATCTGCAATTGCTTTATTTTATTTTCCTTGTCCTTGACACTTCCATGTTGACAGCCTCAGATGGGTAACGTATGTGGCTTTTTGTCCCCTTGTGATACTTGCAGTTGTCACCAATCGTGGAGTTAAATGTCGGCGGGGAGATGTACACGACAACGCTGAGCACCTTAAAGAAACACCCTGGCTCCAAGCTGGCGGAGATGTTCACCGGCCAGCCCAAACTCAGGACTGACTCCGAAGGGAGGTTCTTCATCGACAGGCCAGGCACCTATTTCAAATACATCTTGGAGTACCTGCGCAGTAACCAAGTGCCCACCCAGTGCGTCCAGGACGTCTACAAGGAGGCGTTGTTCTACGACATCGAACCTCTAATCAAGCAGCTAGAGAACTCCCCGCAAATCTTCGGGGAGCTCGTGGCGAGGAAGCAGTTTCTGGCTCGTGTGCCCAACTACGGCGAGAACATCGAACTGATGATCCGCATCGCCAGGGCGGAAGCGGTCGCATCCCGCCGGTCCAGCGTCATCGTGTGTGTGGTCAGAACTGAGGAGGACGCGGCCAGATGTCAGGATGCCTTGAACAGCTTGGACATGGATAAAAAATCCGTGGTGAAGTTTGGCCCCTGGAAGGCAGCGCCGAGTATTTCTGATCTGCTGGACTGCATTCAAATGGATATTGAAGCCAAAGGGTATAAAATATCCTTTCAGCCCCACGTTGCTGAAAAAGGTTTTCGCTTCAAATCGCAGGACTTCTTCTACAAGTTTTTGTTCACCTGGTGGTAGCAAAGTGCCACCATCGATGGGGAACGGAAGAAAGCAGTTATTAAAACAAATTAACTTGGGCCATCGAGACTAAGCCATGGACTACCGGAGGGACAGGAAGAAATGCGTGGCCCAGCGAAAGGATCTCCTTTGGTCATCTGCCTAATGAAATAGCACTTAAGAGCTACTGTGTTGTTGGGCTTTAGGGGATAACTGTACGATTTAAAAGGTACCAGGAAAAGGAGGAATTTTACCCTTTCAGCATTGCTGACTATTTGATACGTTCAGAGAGCCAGATCTGAGGGGTGAGATAACCTCACTCGACCTAAGAGAAATGAATAATCCCAAATATGTCTCGTGGACACGTGGAGTGGGTCTCTCAGTGCAAATGGGAACAGGTCACATAGGTGAAATTCCCGACGGAAACACTGGCAGCTGCATTAACACATGCTCAAATTAAATCTGGATCCTTAATGAGAAGGCAAGGGCTCTTCTTCTCACTGCCTTCCACACTAGAACCTAGGTTAAAAAGAAGGATTTCAGTGTCCCATGATCTCTTCTTGTTCCTTCAGTAGGCAGCCTACTCTCTAGCCAATGTATTTATTACCGTTATTTATTATTTATTCTGAAGGAAAGACGGAGAACCTCGGCTATGGTCCAGGATCAACAAAAGGTAAAAATACCACCGCTGATATGAGGAGTTTATAATCTAAGCACATACACTCCTGTCTCATGCCACACTATTTCAATCTGTTTCTTGTGACACTCATTATTATTATGATATTATTTCTAAATATATAAGCTTCTGGAAGAATAGGGAAAACCCACCGGGATTTCATAGAATCATACAATCGTTAAGGTTGGAAAAGACCCTTAAGATCATCGAGTCCAACCGTTAACATTTGACGGGAAGGAAGCACTACTGAAGTGACGGTCTGGGACCTCAGTGCAAATTCTCCTTTACAGACCACGAGCTGGGTTCTACATTGTGTTTTAAAAATCTTAGTTTTCAAAAGTTTATTTTTATACTGGAGATGGCTGTTAGCTTGGTTTTAATCACGCTGAAAATCATAATGGCTAATTTGATTATGATATTTCCTTTATCTCTCAGAACATGGATTTCTTCCAGTTAAGGACAATAAACTCTGGGATGTTAAATAACTTTATTTGAATGATACAGAAGTGCTTTATTTACTGACATCTTTCCCCTCAAATCCCCAAATTCTAAAGACCTGAAGATTTATCTTTATGCTAATGGATTTTAATCATTCCCTATTAAGCTTGGTTTCAGATGTGCTCATCCTAGCCCAGATTTTCCCCCAGTGAAAGTCGGGAGCCACCCCACCCACCTCAGGGCAGTGCTGCTGTGGGGACTCTCGCATTTATAACCTTGGTAAGAACTGACACAGTCAACGTCTGGGAAGGCAAAAACGTTTAGAAAATAGGGTCTATGATCATAACCAAGTGGTCAGTGGTGCTTAGCCTAGAAGAAAAGAGACCGAGCAGGCCTTCAAATAGATAGAAGGCTGCTTTAGGAGGAGATCAGTTACTCTTCATACGTACTAAGAGTGGAAGAAGGCTTAACTGGCTTAAGTCACAACAAAGGAGATAGATAGACTGAAATTAGATATCAGGAAAAAAAATCTGGTTATGGGGTAGTTAAAGCCTCAAACCAACCAACCTCCTAAGACTACAGGACTGCTGTCGTGAGAAACTTAAATAGTTTTATCAAGGATGGTCTTATAAAACAACCCAGGCTGGAAGGGACCTCAAAGGATCACCTGGTCCCACCTCTGGTGGGAAAGGGAGCCTGATGAGATTATTGAGCACCCTGTCCCGTCACGTCTTGAAAACCCCCAGCAATGTGGACTCCACCATGTCCCTGGGGAGGTTGTTCCAGTGAATGACGGTTCTCGTCGTAAAAAATGTCTTTCTTATATTGAGAAGAAACCTCTCCCGGTGCAACTTGTACCCGTTACCCCTTGTCTTCTCCACATGGTTCCCTGTGAAAAGAGAGCCACCATCCACCATTCAAGAGCCTCCTTGAATGCTGTGCTCAGCGTTGGGCCCCTCACCCCAAGAAGGCCATGGAGGGGCTGGAGCGTGGCCAGGGCAGGGCAGCGAGGCTGGGGCAGGGGCTGGAGCCCAAGGCTGGGGAGGAGCGGCTGGGGGAGCTGGGGGGGCAAGCTGGGCCAGGGCAGGTTTGGGTTGGGTATGAGGAAAAATTTTTTCCCTGAAAGGGCTGTCAGGCCCTGGCCCAGGCTGCCCAGGGCAGGGTTGAGTCCCCATCCCCGGAGGGATTTAAAAGCTGGGTAGATGTGGTGCTTAGGGACATGGTTTAGTGGTGGAGTTGGCAGTGCTGGGTTAATGGTTGGACTCGATGATCTTAAGGATCGTTTCCAACCTAAGCGATTCTATGACTCCATGTTCATCATTACTGGTCTCACACAGGGCTGTGATCACTTGAGCGCAGCCCAGCCATGTTTGAAGGCTGTGCTAAGCTTTCATGTGTGTCTAACACACGCTTGCCCGGAAACGTCATGCCATATTATTTATATTTTGCTCTTTATATGGTCTAACATCAAACACTAACGACACTGGTGGGTACTTTTGGGGACAGCCGGGCGGGGCTGACGGGGCTGACAGGGCTGACCTGCTGGCAGGGTTTGGCTGCGGGGCGGGCCAGGCCGCAGCCGCCATGTTCGGCCCGCGTTCCCATGGCAACGGGAGGCCGACCCCTCACGGGACCCGC